TGTGCGATTTGACGTGGAATGGCTCATATATATATGGGCATTTCATGCCGTATCGCACACTTTTGAACATCTGCCTCTACGACTATTTTCATTTTTTGCTCGGCAGTAGAGTCTAGGCCAGCATGAAGAAAGTCGCAAAGCAAACTTGGAAAAGGGAATTTCCGGCCAAGTTATTCCCGACCCCCTAAAGTTGCAAAATTTGCCAGGTTGCCGCTTGACACCCCCATCTTTGAAGACTTGTAATTTAGCCTGCTCTTAACAAAATTTAATAATTTTTAATCCGCAGTATTTCTTAGTCCCATGTACTTTACAGTGGCGAAATCATTGGAGCTGCTTCTGAAGGCCGCAGCTGGCAGCTACATATATCCGGTATGCTTTAAACTTTGAAAATGCGCTACCAAAGTTGCACTTCACTTTGATAATAGTAATAAATCATTACTCGGCAGAGCTATAAGAGGCAGTCTTCACTCTAGCCTTTTCTAGTTCTTGTATTTCGCAGTTCTTGAGCTTTTAGAATTGTCTCTGTCTTGTACTCGTTAAAGTTCTCGTTGGACTCGACTTCAGAAGCGGCTCCAGATGATTCCGCCACCGTAAAATACATGAAATTACTGTCAAAATAGTGGGTTTTTTCAGTTTCACATCCCATTCCGGCTAGCAGCTCTTGATACTGAAAAATTGCTATCACCAAATGTTGATATGTTGTTGGGCAAAAGATTCTACACAAAATATACATTTTTTTAGAAAACTTAAAGATACGTTTTTTCTATGTTTGTTCAAAATTTTATTTTTACTGTATTTTTATGCATTTTTATAGGAATTAAATTATTACACATACTTTTAAAAGTTCAGGAAAATGATTAAAAATCTTTAACTTCCGTTTAGAAGAGGGCAAATTGCAAGTCTCCTAAGATAGTGATGTCAAGCGGCAACCTGATAAATTTTTCAATTTTTGGGGATGTACGTTGGCGGGGAACCCATTTTTCAGGTTTTTTGCGGCTTTCTTTATGCTATCCTAGGCTCGACTATTCAGCAAAAAATGAAAAAAATCTGAGAAGTCAATCGGTGTTCAAAAGTGTGCGATTTGGCATGGAATAGCTCATATAAAGGTCAATTTACGTTAAACCACTTAATATTTCAAACTTTCTTCACACTTTGTTGATTATTAAAGTTTAGGCCAGCATATAGAATGCCAAAAAAGAGACTTGAAAAAGTAAATTCTTAGACAAGCTACACCCTTTAAAGTTGCATGATTCACGAGGTTGTTCTTTATAATATCTGTCTTTGAAGACTTTTAATTCAGCTAAATCTCAACAAAATTTAGACACTTCTAGCTTCTTAGATTTGACGCATCTTCTTTTATTAAAAATACATTGAATAAATTATTCTGCTCAATGGTTGTACAAGTCTCATAAAAACAAAATTTTATATAGTTATAAAGAAAAAGTATGTCTTTTTTAACTTTAAAAGTAATACGCCGCATTTGACATTTTTTGCTCTATGAAATATAACAAACTGGTGATAGCAATTTTTCTAATTCGGGAGTTAAAAACTGAAAAAAACTGTGAGACGGGAAAAAACCAATTGTTTCCGCAGTAATTCGCGCTTTTTTAAGCGGTAAAACCGTCTTCAGCCGCTCCTGGAATTGCCGAGAGCTGATAAAAAAGTTACATTTCACTCTAAAATATTAACAATTTGTCATTCTGCAATATTGTAAAAAGTAGCATCATTTCAGTCTTTCTCGCTTTCTAAAAACTGTAGTTAAGTGAAAAGATCGATTACGGACACCTAGCTTACAAAGCACAGGCAGCGCTAATGTTTCACGTAGCAAAAACCATACAAAATAGACAGTTTTCGGAGTAGAAAGTGCATGCAACTACGAGAATTTTATTCCAATAGTTGGGAAGTCAGTGAAGAGAGGAAGATGTAAACCTCTTTAAATTATATCCGTAAAAAA